AGATGCCTCCCTCTTGAGTTCGCCTTCTTTGTGCATGAAGCACCTGCCCATGGACTGCTGTGCAGTTGCAGGTGCAGAGCTGCCCAAAGGGGCTTTGCAGGACTCACAGTCATAGGAGGAGCTTCTACATTTGATGGGAAAAACTGTTTGCAGTAGGGCCGAGTCTCTCCTTAATGATGTCTGAACAAAGCATCAAATCGCATCCTAATCCTGACTCTGTGGATACTTGCGCAAAATCCTGGTGCACATTCTGCGGACTGCTTTCCTCTCTTTATGCTTAAGCATCCTCATGTGTAGATAACGACAGCTTCTGTGGAGCTCAGGAGGTGAGGAGACACAAGGGAGAGAAATGGACCTTACAGTGTCTAGAACCTGGGCAGCAGCCTGCCACACTCAGAACAAGGATTCTAAATGTCTCCTGCAGCCACCTGCTCCTAGGAGTTCCAGGCTCCCACAGGAGACAGTCAGCTGTAGCAAAATGAAGAGTCGAGCATGTCGCCTCCCATAGAATAGCACTCTGACAGTTCTAAGCAAAAGGAGATATTGTCTTTTTTTTTTTTTCTAAACAGCAGAAGTGCATTTGTTTCTATGTGAAGAATAACACACACACACCTGTCTCCATGGCTTTCTGTGGGCTATAAACTGTTATTTGAATTTATGCAAACACTTGTTTAATGCATATTTCAAAGGAACTCAAAATTACAATAATTTCAGTTAGTAAAAATAAATTATATATTGCACTATCTGTATATCATAGCTAAAGGGCAACCTATTTCTCCTTTACTTGCTCATTTATTTTGAATTGGCAAATAAAATTGGATGTAATTATGGTATACAATGTGATGCTTTATTTTGACATATGTATGCATTATGGAATGATTAAATCAAGCTAATTGTTGTATCTGCCACTTCACACACCTCTTTTGTGTGTGTACATGTGCCAGGAACATTTAAAGTCTGAGCTCTTAGCAATCCATTGTTATTAGTCATAGTCACCATGAGTTACAATGTATTTCTATAGTATATTCTTTCTGTATCATTGAAATTTTGTATCTGGAGACGAATAACTCATTTTTTCCCGCATCACCATGCTCACCCCAATCTTTGGTGACAACCATTCTGCTATCTGTGTAATTTTGATATTTTTAGATTACACATGCCTGTGAAATCCTGCTATATTTATCTTTCTGTGGCTGGTTTATTTTACTCAGCAAAACATCTTCCAGGTCAT